TTCCGCCCTCCCGGAGTGAGCTCCTGCCCCCACCGCATCTCAGTCATCTCTCCCAGGGCACAAAGGTGCTGCCTGCTGGGAGGTGCGGCCATGCTGGGCCACGCTGGGCAACGCCGAAGCCCGGTGGGTAAGGAAGGGGGCTCAGATCCAGGCTGGACAGCCCTGACCACCTAGAGATGGCATCTTGCTCCCCACCATCGTTTTCCTCTGCGCTCTACTTAATCTTTCTTTACAGCTTTTAAATCACCAAGCCTTTAAACACTTACTTGTTACTGTTTTTCCCACTAGATTGTCATCATCATGGAGCAGAACAACTGTTTTGTTTATGGCTCTACTCCTAATACTGAGTATGGGTGTCTCTAAATATTTATATGAATAAGGGACCAGCAGTTAGCATAATGGCTATGTCACTGGACTCCCACGTAGTCGACTGCGGTTCGCGTCCCAGACCCGGTGGCTTAAACTCACGCCGGGTGCGTGTGCGTGCGTGCCCAAGATCCCCAGAGGAGAATGGAGGAGAAGGGATTGCGGCATGGCCATCCCCCCTGGGGGGTGATTTCTCGCTTTCTGTCTCTCTGTCTCTCTGTCTATCTGGCAAGCGCACGCGCCCTATAGCAAAAACCTCTCCAAATAAAAAATGTATATGAATAATAAGTGACTCTTAGGTCTGCCTTGGGAAAGCTACCTACCGCTCTTAACATCTAGCAAGCTCTTACCCTGTGCTAGGGGGCTGTTTATCCTAGGAGCTTTGGCTGTATTAACTAATTAAAAAAATGTTTATTATATTTTTTAGGTTTTTGTCATAGGATGTACTTTCCAGAGAGAGAGAAAGAGAGAGAGCGGGACAGAGAGCAAGTGAGAAATCATCCCCTAGGAGGGGTGGCCATGCTGCAATGCCTTCTCCATTCTCCTTTTGGGATTTTGGGCATGCATGCACATGTGCCTGGCATGATTTTCAAGCCACCAGGTCCAGGACTTGAACCGCAGCTGGTCAAGTGGGAGTCCAGTCCCTTAACCACTATGCAACCTCCTGGCCCCTGTGTTAACTCATTTAAACCCCATGATGACCCTGTGGGGTAGTTATTATTGTTATTATTGTTTAATTTGTTTAACATGCTCTTGCAGAGAGAGACAGAAAGAGAGAGGGAGAAAGCACCCCTGAATGGGGTTTGTCAATCGCAATCCCTTCTCCATTTCTCGCTCCTTTGGGGATTTTGAGCATATTTGCACAGGTGACTGGTGTGTTGTTTGAGCTACCAGGGCCAGGCCTTGAACTAGGCTAATAGCCATGTGACTCCAGCTCCCTTAACCACTAGGCCACAGAGCCAGCCTGGTAGTTCTTCCTAGTCTTTGTAACTGACGGAGGAGAGAAGTGAAGCCCAGAGAGGAGAGGTGACCTTCTTGAGGGAGGTGGCTGTTGGCAGAGCTGGGGTATCATGGGCGAGGGCAGGTGCTTGACCTAGAACTGAATTAATTGCTGGTCCACTTCAGTTCCCATTCTGCTGCGTGACTGTCTGCTGTTCTCTGTCCCTACTCCCCATGACTCTTCGCCTATAAAACAGGGCTAATCACAGCTCTTCCTTCCTTCCCTCCTCCCTAGCTTGCTCCCCTTACCCATGGGGGCTGAGTCTGGGTGCTGGAGGCTAAAGATGAGGTCAAGGTATCATTAGTTCGCTGGCTACCTCCACAGACTTTAGGACTTCTTCAGTGGCCTGGGAGTCAACTTCTTGTCTCCCTCCCACACTCTTCTGGGTTGTGGTTCTCTTTCTTCTTCTTTTATAAATAATTTTAAAAATAATTATTTATTTAATTTTATTTAATTTATTCATTTATTTTAATTTGACCAGAGAGAGAGAGAGAGAGAAAGAAAGAGAGAGAAAGTGAGAAAGCAAACCACCAGGTCTAGGACCTGAACTGTGGTGGGCCATGTGGGAGTGTCCAGTCCCTTAACCACCATACCACCTGCTGGTCCCCATCGTGAGTTCTCTTTCTGAGAAATAGGGAAGAGGTCTCTTAGGCTTAGATGAGGGAGAGATGAGAGAAATGATGTGAAGGATTTCCATTTCTTGAGGAGTTTTTGTTTGTTTGTTTTTTTTTTTTTTTTTTTTGCTACAGGGTGCGTGTGCTCAACAGAAAGACAGAGAGAGACATAGAGACAGAAAGTGAGAAATCAACCACAGGGGGGATGGCCACGCCACAATCCCTTCTCCTCCATTCTCCTCTCGGGATCTTGGGCATGCACTCACATGCGCCCGGCGTGAGTTTTAAGCCGCCAGGTCCGGGACTCGAACTGTGGTCGACTACATGGCAGTCCAGCAACATAGCCATTATGCTAACTGCTGGTCCCTGAAGGATTTCCATTTCTGGTAATATGGTGACCTGTGTCTACTCTAGCTAAAAACAATGAAACATGCTGGACAGAAGTAGAGAAATCTTTCCCGAAGCACCACAGTGCTGACAGGCAGTAAGGAATGAATAGGTCAAGAGCTCAGTCTGGACCTGAGCAGGGCGCCAGGGCCCTCAGGGCCCAAGGGTATCGGCTAAGCCAGACCAGACCTGAGCTTTGGTTTTGCTGGTTTGGAGACCAAGGAAGACAAGGCTGAAGTCCAGGGCTTACCTGAGAGGGAGACCCAAGTGAGAGACCTCTCCTCCCATGAGACTGGGACCCCGAAGGACTAACGGTCAAAGGGCTCTGTCTTCCCCCACAGGACTTTGGTGCTGAACAAAGCAGGGAGGAAGGGAAATGGCCTCCCCAAACTCCAGCTATTAGCCAGCGCTCACATGGATCTGCTGCCCAAATTCGCTCATGTTGCTTGGGGAGGAGGGACAAAAAAGCCCCCAGCCCAGACTGCTGGAAACTCTCCTAGGAGAAATACCCTCTCTCCTTCTGTGCCTCAGACAGCCCACAATAATTCCCCAGGGAACAAGTGGTCAAGTAGCTCCTAGCCTAAAGCTCCCCCCACAAGTGATCTGTGTGCCGTGGGGTATCTCATTGGCCTCAGTCTTCTCATTTGTAAATGAGGGGAGTAACCAGCTGCTCTCCAAGGTCCCCACTAGCACTGCAAACTAGGTGAGGCCAAAGCGTGCCCCCATTTTGTACTCTGGGTGCCTTGTCAGAGACGGGGAGATGGATGAGGTGGGCTTGTGCCATGTGTCTCCTCCAGCCCCACTGGAAGGACACGGGCAGAAGACTGTCCCTAGTCCCAGCTCTGGGGAGGACAGAGGGGCATGAATGTGGAGCGGTGTCGGCCCCGACTGGGCCTTTGATGTGTGCGTGGACAGGTGGGCGGGTGGGGCCTGTAATAGGGGCTCTCCAGGGAAGGAGGCAGGGGAGCCTGGGGCATCCTCGGTGGTGACCTACTTGGGCCCCTGTAATTGCTCCCTTTCCCCCATGGGAGGCTACAAATAGGGATGCCCGATCTCTCAGCTCCCACAGCGGAGACACCAGCACAGTGGTGAGTACCAGCGTTTGGGTCTTGCTCTTGGCTGGGTGTCAGGGCAGCTCAGGGGACCCCCGGGAATCAGACTGTGTCCTGACCAGGGTGACCACAGCAGGGACTGATGGGTTGAGAGAAGTCAAATGTCCTGGACTTGGGGATCCCCTTATGGTGAGGGCTGTGCAGAGCTGAGGTTTGGCCCTGGGTTCCCACACCCTCCTCCTTGCCTCCTTCATTCCTGGGGACGGGGCGAGATGGCCCAGGGCTGCAGCGGGGAAAGAGGACTCCGTCAGTCTCCAGGCACTGAGCTTCTGAAATAGCAACTGGGGTGGCGCCAGGCAGGCTGGCAGGAACCCAGAGGGGCACGCTCAGTACCCCTGTGGTTCCTTATCCCCTGGGATTACGGCCCTCGTTCCACCTGGGAACCTGGACACCTTGCTCCAATTCCGGGTTGTCACAAAGAATCGGACCCCAGGCAGTGCCTGACAACCCTGTCCCCACGCCTTGCTGGCCACTTGCTCCCAGCAGAGAAACTTTAGGGAGAGTCTTGGTCCTGGCTTCCCTGAGTTGCAGGATTCCTGCCCTGGGGGAACCGGGTGAGTCACTGGATTGACATGGAAACAGCTCTTGCTGGCCTGATGCCTGGGGTTTCCCAGACTGGAGGATCATCCCAGAGGGGCAATGGAAGGGACAGTGGAGTGGGGGCAGCGAGCGATTCCAGGAAGGGCCTCCCCTCTAATACACCAGGGTGGTCTATACAGAGTCTTCTCTCTGATGGTCCAGGGGTCAGGAAGATGGCCTCAGGGTGGGGCAGGTTGCAGGCTGGTAAATACCTGAGCTGGCTGACTCTCGCTAGGTCACCTGGTTCAGGTCTCTGACTAGGCCTGTGAGGTGGGATGCACTTCACGTTACAGGCACCCGAGGCCCAGAGAGGGTACGTGGCTCATGAGGGGTTGAACAGCTAGTGAGAGGCAGAGAGGAGCCCGAGGTTTCCCTTTGGATATGGCTTCCTTGCGTTCAAGGCTGGAGGCGTGGTGAGGGGACTGGTGGTGGTGAGGAGTGTGGGTTCCTCTCAGGCCTGACCTTCCCTGCTAAGGCCCAGCCTCTCCTGTGGGTCAGGATGCACTGGGCAGGGTCTCCTGGGAGGGATAGGGGTAGGCATTGCCAGGGCTGGGCACCGCATCGCACACCTCAGGGCGGCGCAGAGTGGGACGGGGCAGTCTCAGGTGTTAGGATGGGAAGGGTAGGAGAGAACCAGGGAGTCCTCAGGGAGCCCCGCTCTCGGGGTACAGGTGGCGAGGCGAGGCACTCTGTCCCTGAGTTTGCAGTGATGTCGGGAAACGAGACTCTATCCAGAAAAACCACAACAGGGGCAGTTGGGAGGTAAATTAGGAGGGACTGGTGGGCCAGGGAGGGCTGTCCAGGGCAGGGAGGCCTGTGGGGCCTGAGGCCTGGTGGATTTCAGACAGGTCCGGGAACAGGCCTGGGACACCTAGGGAGAGGTGAGTGGGTGCTGGCCTGGGCCTCTGCCATGGCTCACACATCTGTTCCGTGACAGCAAGGATGGCCAGTCCCTTGGAGCAGGCGATATGTGCCATCATATCCACCTTTCAGAAGTATGCGCATCACTCTGGGGACAAGCACAAGCTCTGCCAGGCGGAGCTCAAAGAGCTGCTGCAGAAGGAGCTGCCCACCTGGACCCCGGTGAGCACCCCGGGAGGCTCTGCTGGGACTGGGCAAAGACAGACCGCGGCCAAGCATGAGGGGCTGCCAGGGAGCCACCTGGCTCAGCAGGAGCCTCAGTTTCCATATCTGTAAAATGGGGTGCGATTGTCCCGCTGCCTCGCGGGGTGTGGGAGGACTGAGGGAGAGCACCGTGCGGAAAGCCGAGCACGGCCGCCCAGCATGGCCGCCCAGCTGAGGCACTCAGCAGCGCACCGGGTGATCAGTCAATGAACTGACAAGGGAGCCGCAGGGCAGCGAAGTGGGTGTCTCAGGACGCCGGGCTGAAGTTGGCCCCCAGAAGGGGTGTGGTTGGCCGGGAGGAGAGAGAGGGAAGCCCCGTTCACCACGCCTCCCCATCCCTCCCTCCCCGTCCCGCGCAGACCGAGCTTCGGGAGTGTGACTACAACAAGTTCATGGGCATGCTGGACACCAACAAGGACTGCGCGGTGGACTTTGTGGAGTACGTGCGCTCGCTAGCCTGCCTCTGTGTCTACTGCCACGAGTACTTCAAGGACTGCCCCCGGGAGCCCCCCTGCTCCCAGTAGCCTCTGCTCCAGATGGGGGCTGGCTTGGCAGGGGATCTCTTCCCCCAAAGGGGTCC